GCTATTTCCCTTAATTTGTCACTTACTTGTCTACAGACAGAATTTGTCAAAATCTTATATTATTTTTTACATGAGATCAAAATGAATTTGAAGATATTTGAGGTCTGACCCATGACTACTGAGCACCAGTGGGTAAGACTAGATATTACTAAAGAACAGTCTTTAATTTCTAATGCTATCTTATTCCAAACAAACCCCAAAATGATTAACTTCTTGCACATCATTAGAAAAACATTTGCATGATCTGATCTGACTTGCTGTTTATTTTTTGAAAACAGCTCAGGTGATACAGATGCTCTGTTGCACCTGAGCTGTCAGGACTTGTGATAGAAGGATGTTTTACAGGTAATACATGCTGCGGATAAGTGTGTTTGTTAGCTTCACAGTGCATGCGGGTTGTGTAAGGTTTTTCCCCTCCTTGCTGTGTCCGGGGAGGAAGAGCCAGGACAGAGGAGCCCTCAGGCCAGGAGCCTGGGAGGACAAAGGGAGGTCACTTCATCCACTGGTGTCACACTCTAATTCATCTGTCAGGGCCTGCACAAGAGCAACATGCTCACACATGCACACAACGGTACACAAGTTCACACTGTTGCACAGGGACATAACTTTCACACACAAACACACACATAGACACACAACAGGATGATAAGACGACAGCAACTTACTTTAGCGGCTTTCAAAAGGATCTCTCTCTCCTGCTCATCCTTCCGCTGCTTCTCGATTCTCTCCAGCTGCTCAAAGAAGCGAAGCTGAGAGCGAACGTCTGCAGACTGCTCGTAGCACTCATCGTCCTGACAAGCAGATAGAGATAATTACTGTTTCAATGGTAATAGTTGAACAAGTCCCACTCGGCAGCTACTTCTAAGGCTTTAGCCACGTACTTCAAAACTCTGGGTTGCCTTCAGTTCAGATATTTCAAACTGAAAATAAGGTCAAGATGGTTGTGATATTAATAAGAAAACAGAATATTTCAAATGTAAGACACTTAGAAGACTCTTCCTCACTGTTAATGATTTGTTTACTTCATGATTTACATTTGAGGTTAGTCTTCTCATGTGTCTGCTGGTATACATCTATATTCCCTGGGCAGCTCATTTAATCCTACACAGTTAGGTATGTAGGTATTTGGACAATTACACAGTTTTCCAGTTTTCTACCACCTCAGTGTATTTTAAATCAAACAATCAATATGTGATTGAATTACAGACCATCATCTTTAATTGGAGGGGTTTAACAAAACTATCACATTAACCATTTAGGACTTAAAGCAAGTTTTATACATTTTTAAGCACTCAAAAGTAACTGGACATGGTAACATAATTTTAAATATATGTTTTCAATACTTGGATGAAAATCCTCTGCAGTCACTGACTGCCTGCAGGCTAGAACTCATGGACATCACCAAATGCTGGGTCTCTTCCCTTGGCATGCTCTCCTTGGCCTTTCCTGTAACCACCTTCAGTTGCCGTTTGCTTGTTTCTCTCTCGGCATACAATTCTGTCTTCAGAAAATGAATTTCAACTCTCAATTGGGTTGAGATGAGGTAACTGAGTTGGCCATCGAAGAATATCCCATCTGCTTTTGCAGTATACTTTGGGCTATTATTCATTCGTACTGTAAAGAGCTGCCCGATCAGTTTTGCAGAATTTTGTAGAATCTCAGCAGACTAAAGCCTTGTGCACTCGAATCCTAATAGTTGCCATACATGCCCAAGCCATAACACTGACTCCACCCTTTTTGATAGAGAATATGGTATGCTCGGGATAATGCGTCTCCATACTTTTCTCTTCCCATCATTCTGGTACAAGTTAGCCTAGGTTTCATCTGGTTTCGACTTGGTTAGATGATTTGAAGTTACTGAGCTGGCCAGTGCATTCACGTTTTCTGAGAAAGTACCAGGTTGTTTATTTGGTCACTCCTAAGGTTTTTGACATCTCTCTTCACTTACGCTGACATCTATCTGGACCTCATATTAAGAGTTCCAGTGAAAATAAACCTTCTGCAAGTTTAACACTTGGAATCAACTGCAGATGTTTTATCTGCTTACGCTGTCATGCAATAATGAGGGAACAGTCCTCAGCAGGCTGTGGACTGTTGTTATGCAGTGTCACACCTTTTTCAATATGTCATATCATTACTAATTACCTTAAAAACACTGATTTTGATTTAATGGTGTAAAAAAATCCACCTAATTTTCAAATCCTTTTTCCCTAAACAGATAGGATATTTATCCAGCGCAGTGACTAACTGTAGTTCCAGATTAACTAAATCTTCTTAAGCTATTGTATTAAAAAATTGCAGTAGATTGCTATGATCATACAAATCTATATTTAAAATGAATTATTTGTTGAGAAGCAACCATATTTTTTGGTTAAACAATGAAAAGAAACTTTAAAACACAAGTCAACTGGAACACCACCAGTCTGAACACATCAACAAACTTTTTCTATTTACAGACATTGCTTCTCTTTACCTATGTCACATCACTTCCCACATGGGAGATAGAAAGGCAAGAGTAAAAACAACTTTTTTAGGCCATCAAAAGTTAATAGGATAATTGCTTATTTCTCATGTTTCTGTGTGACTGCATGTGTCTCATGCATCTCTGTTCTTGCTTGCACTTGATTTCTATATCACTCTCTTCTGTGTGTGTTTCCATGAGTGGATGAGAGACGCCGAGTGGCACAGAGCACAAAGACACATCAGAGGAGACTCATCACCAGCCCTCTTCCACTCTCCCGCCCCCCTTTTCCGTCTCTCTCTCTCATCCAGCTTCTCTCCTCTTTGTTGCAGCGCTGAGCCTGCACTCTTGCCGTAGCTCCCGCCGCCGCTCCTGCCGAAGCCCGGCTGCACTTTAAGGCCGCTTTGTCTTTCGGTCTTTTCTCTCTCTCTCTCTTTTTTTCGCTGATGTCAACAGAGCTGGGCTCACAGTGCTTCATGCCTCCTTCACACACACACCTCATTTACAAAACCACAAAAAAGGCAAAGAACGAATGGAAAGAAGAATCACAAAACAAGACGGGGACAGCAGTAGCAATGCTCTTCCTCGCTCCTCCTCATCCTCCCGTCTTGGCATCAAGAAAAACACATTTTCAAAAGTTTCTCCCCCCTCTCCGACACACCCCCATTTCTCATAACGATGCAAAGATATAGCCTTCCAGCAGAGATGAATTTGTGCTTTAATGTTTACCAATTAAATGTGGTTATATAGTTATATTTAAGGGCTACAAGAAGTAAAGTCACCAATAATAACAAAAGTATGCAGCTGTAGGTAGACGGGCACTTACAAGTTCTTTTATAAGTTTTGACTGGCTGAAAACTCTGAGCTCTGGCGCTTTGTATCAACTTAAAGGTAAATAAGAGTTCTGACATTAACTTTTACGTGTTTATAGTTCCATTTTTGTTTGTGAGTTAACAAGTAAAAGGAAAAAAATGCATATGTGCATATGCCAGTGTGTATTTACATGACTGTTGAAGCATACATATGCCTTCATATCCATGGCAGTTTAGTTTTGCATGTTTGCTACAATATCCCCATGGATTTTATTCCCTATCTTGAGTGTTTTGTGCATTCCTAAGTACGGTGACAGTCTAGCTAGGATTCATTTAGTACCATTGGTGGCCCTTTGTAACATTTTATGCAGCCCCTGAACAGAAGAAGGAAAAAATTGTTGACTGAACCTTTCATTCATCAACAGTTTAAGTCATATCATGATAAGGTGGCGCCAAAAAAACGACAGCAGCATTTCTCTTTAATTTCAGCTCTTGTGTTCTGCCCATAAAAGCAGCTTACGATGTATAAACAACGCAGGTTCAAGAAACCTGTCTGTCCTCTCAGTGATGGCTGAAAAGACTATAAACCAGAACAAACATGACAATTACCCTATATAAACCACCATACTCTGATTACACATTACAATCTCAAACTATACGAGTTTGATGCGTTTTTTCTCTGCTGCCCTTAATCATATGGTAGCTACCTAAACAGGCACTTAGTCAGATTGTCTTATAATAAACCGGATCATACTCGCTGCATGCTGGGGCATGTGTGGTAAGGGTGTGAGACACACAGTCACTCATTATTCAGTATTATCACAATATCGCTATAAAAAGATCTATAAATAATATAATTCTACGACACATAGCAGTACATTGGTATATCCATATGACAGGAAATAATTCCCATAAAAAGGAGAAAAAAATCCCCCCCAAATAATCCATTTTTCATTGTCAGTGTAAATCAATATTATTCAAATGTAATCAATCCCATGTACTCATTTATTGTTCTGTTCACTCTACCCTCCTTCACTGGATAACGGCCACCACAAAAAAACTCATACTTGTTATAAAGTATGAGGCTCATAAAATGAAATCTTGGCAGGTGGCTGATCTGATCATAGTTTTCTTTTATTGTGTTTTGTTGTGTTTCAGTTCGTGGTGCTTCATTTGCCTCACTCAAGTGACATGCAACAGTAAGACAACGGTTTCAGAAATGCAGCTGCATGATTATTTAATTTTTTTTCATGCTGAAACTGTACCGAGCTCAACATATCTTTTTTGAGTGTGTGTGTGTAGGGGGCAGAACATATTTATTTGCAAACGTCCTACCTTACAGGAGTCCAGTCGGTGCTGTGCGATAGTAGAAACCTTTTCTACTACCGTCCGAAGCCGTGACTGCGTGGCGTGTGAGATGAATGTCACTGTCTCCATGGGGACTTCCGTAATTCCAAACTTTTTAGCTGCAAAAGATATATTAACACACCCATTTAGGACAAGATGACATTTCTATGATCAGATAGGGTTTTGCAAATATTTCTTACTTTGCCCAGGTTTATCAACAACTGCTCAAATACATATGGAGACTATTTTAGGATTTTTATTTAGATATTTTTAATTTGTCTGAGAGAATAAGTCATTTTTTGCATTTGTTCATTTTTTTTTGTCACTAGTAAGTTAATGAAACACATTTCCAGTGTGGTGTTTTTTCAGTTTTCAACATTCCTTTCTCAAGTAGGGTCCCCCTCTACAGTTTGAGAAACTCTAACTCCACTATCTTGCTCTGCAATTGGCAACAAAAGCCCTTCTTCTTTGGAGACCCACTTTGAGGTGAAGGGCCACTTCAACCAGCACCTGCTGCAGCACTGAAGAACTGGTTCATGTGCCTTTACACAAAGAGAACAAGGACAATCACTGCCAGCTGCAGGCCAAGAAGGTGAAGTTGGAGTTCATTTGAAGGATGAGAGACTCATTTGAGAGGCCACTGATTGCAAACATAAATGGTGAAGACTCGTGTACATGTGCTCACATATATGTCCTAAAAACAGAACCTAAAACTCTGGGAATCACTGCATTAGTACATCATTAGTGTCAAACAGATGCATTCTTTGGACACACCAGGTACAGCTAGTACTTTTGCTTCTTATAATTTCATCTATTTCATTAAATCCTAAAATATTGATCCACTTTACCAACAAGGAGTTTTCTAATGTAACATTTGTTCCACATTTAATTTACTTAATGTTATAAACAGGTCATAAGTCACTGTTATATTGTCACTTAAATTGCTGCTAAGACTTAAGAAAAGCAGCAGATAAGCAGGTAGAATTAAAACACACATACAGTGCATCTGTAAAATATTCACAATGCTTCACTTATTCTACAGTTTGTCATATTACAGCCTTATTCTGAAATGGAATAATTAACTTTTCACCTCAAAATTATAAATACAATATCCCATAATGAGAAAGGGAAAAAAAGTTTGTTTGATGTACAGATTTATTAAAAATAAAAAAACAAATATATAACATATACATACAGGTCCATCCTGTTTCCACTGATATTTTATCAGATGTTTCTAAAACTTGATTGAAGTTCACCTGAGATAAAATCAGTTGTCTGGAAATGATTTGGAAAGACACACATGTCTATATAAGGTCATATGGCTCACAGTGCATGTCAAAGCACAAAAGAGCATGAAGTCCAAGGAAATGTCTGTAGACCTCGGACACAGGATTATATCAAGGCAAAGATCTCAAAAAGGGTACAGAAAAACTTCTTCAGCATTTAAGGTCACAATGAGCGCAATGGCCTCAGTCATGCGTAAATGGAAGAAGTTTGAAATGACCAGGACTCTTCCTAGAAATGACTGGCTGGCCAATCTGAGCAATGGTGGTGGAAGGGCCTTAAAAGAGAGAGGGAGGTGACCTAGAATCCAATGGTCACTCTAACAGAGCTCCAGTGTTGCTCTGTGGAGAGTGGAGAACCGTTCAAAAGGACAATAATTTCTGTAGCCCTCCACCAATCAGGTCTTTACGGTAGAGTGGCCAGATGGAAGGCACTCCTCAGCAAAAGCCCAATGACAATCTGCTTGGAGTTTGCCAAAAGGCACCTGAAGGACTCTCAGACCACGAGAAACTCTTTGGACTGAATGCTAAGCGTCATGTCTAGTGGAATCCAGGTATCACTCATCACCCCGCCAACACCATCCCTACACAAAATAACCTGCTCCAGAGGCCTCTGGACCTCAGAGGTTCACCTTTTAAAAGTTACCCTAAGCACACAGCCAAAAACAAAAGGGGGCTTCGGCACCAGCCTGTAAATGTCCTTGAGTGGGCTAGCCAGAGCCCTTGACTTGAACACGATTGACCATCTCTGCAGAGGTCTGAAATTGGCTTTGCACCAACACACCCCATCCAACCTGACTGAGCTTGCGAGATCCTGCAAAGGCGAATGGGAGAAGCTGCTTAAAAATAGGTTTGCTAAGCTTGTAGCGCCAAGCTTAAAACACTTGAAACTGTATTAGCTGCCGATGGTGCTTCAACAAAGTATTGTGCAAAGGATGTGAATATGTACGTACATGTTATATTTATGTTTAGTATTTTTAATACATTTGCAAGAATTTCAAACCTCACTTTTTACTTGGTCATTATGGGATATTTGGTGAAAAGTGATTATAATCTATTTTGGATTAAGCCTGTAACATGACAACATTTGGAACAAATGAAATGCTGTGAATACTTTTCAGATCCAGTGCACAAGCTCACACACCCCTCCCAAAGAAGTCAAGAAGTAAAAGCACATCAACAGATGACCACAACCCTCATTGAGTACCTTCACTTATGCACACATATACACCCACTGTTCTTACACATTCATACAGAAAAACTGTCTGGATTAGTATGTGCAATTAACTCCCAGAAAGAAGACTCATTGCACAGAAAAGTTAATTTGTTTCACAGTCTTAGTGCAAATTCTCAAGTGGCTTTACCAGCTAAGCTCCTTCAAGTGTGTAAACGACATTGACCATCTCTTTTCATAGAAGGATAATTTAGTTTCCTTGGAGCAAAACTCATCTGAAGTCATAACAAAAGAGAGGAGGACAGACTTTGGTAGGGTTACTATCTGTTTCCAACTTCCTTTTAAATTATTCCATTAACATAATTTTCTCTCTGGCACCCTTTTAAGTAAACCACACCAATTATTTAAATCAGCTGAACAATACATACACTTCTCAGCAGCTAAAGCTTTGAAACGGATGGAAGGAGCCCTGTTAGCCTTATAATTACAGTGGCAATACATGTGGCAAAGTCACAAGGTCAAAGAAAAACGCTAATAGGCTCCTGCTCCCTAAAAAATGCAATCTATCAGGGACATTAATATTTCAGACAAAGTTTAAGAGACTTAGCCGCAGAGAGAGAACAAAAACATATTCTTCAACTTGATACAGATCATTATTCTTCACCTAGAAAAAGCATGTAAAACAGCTAGAAAACGACTAATGATCTGTACAGCTATAACATTTTGTTTAATTCTGACTTAAATAGCATTAAGAATAAAAAGACAAGCACCAAAGACTGTAACACTTCCAGTTGTGTGGTTAATTCAACTCATTTAAGCTACCTTGTGTACGATTTTTTTTGCCAAACTACTGACACTAATGATGGCAGTGTTGTTCAGTGAAACAAAGAACTGAACATTTATATCGAAAACTGATATATAGATTCTACAAGGTGACATTACCTCTGACATTACCTCCAATGCCTCTATCTGGAGAAAAAAATTAAATTTATAAACAGATATTGTCAAAATAGAAGCTTTCTGTGAAACAGGATGTGTTAAAAACTCAAAACTCAAGTGCATCCAAGATTGTGTAATTGCCTAACTTAGCATAAATGCAGCCGGATTCTCAGAGCGCTGTGGTTTTTAAGACCTTAGAAATTCTTCTTCAAAACTTTCTCTGAATTCACAATGTGTTCCACCAAAAATTTGTTTAGGAAAAGACATAAAACTGATTTTTTTAATATTTATTTATTAAATTTGTTTTAACCACCAACCATGTTGCCTTGCAAGCAGTCTTTTTCTCTGCATTGACACATTGCTAAAATTCCTATGTGTGCATATGAGTAAGATATTAGTATACACAAGATAAGCAAAAAGGTAAACCACACATAAAAAAATAACAGGTCTACAATTCTGCTAAAAGTTTAAAAACCATCACAAGATGATGACACATCAATATTGTGTTCAAAACTTATGAGTTCCCTGAGTGGCTCCGTAACAAAAGTCCAGATGGCCAGAAATCCAACTGCAAACAAATGGTATACACCTAAACTCCCTGTTGGAGCTGGTTTAACTAAAAGAATATTTGTTTAAAAAAAAATTAAATAAAATAACATGCTACACTGACTTCAGACCCCACCAGGTGACCACCTGTCCTTGGCTTTCCCCTCCCACTTTTATTTACATGACACAGTAAAAGTCAGTTTTTAGAGTTTACTAGTCAGTAAACCAAAGTTAATCGTACAGGCTACAATTGACATATTTGTGTTCTTTATCGCTAAATCTGCATGTATTACATGTCAACTCTGATAAATTTTAAAAAACACATCATTTGGCTAATTGAAAGTTGTTTATTCAGCTGCCAAATACTTTTTAAAACAACAGACATAGTGAAATCTCATGATGAGACTCAATCTGCAATGATACTTGGATTTTTTAGTTCCTGTTAAACTTGCTGGTATTGATTGGAAAAAGAGTCTCCCTGAAAAGTACCTGGCAGTGAAAATGGACAAGTCCCATCTGTTGTAGTTTATATCTAAAATAATTGCAACTTTGTCATTCCTTCTCAAAATACACAGCCAGTTTCCATAACTGGTTTTGATATTTATTTCAGCATCCATTGACGAGATGGCCAGACCATAACTGACCACTACAAAGTCAGAAAAGACTTCTCTACTGCACGTCATGAGTGCAGATCTAAGAAAGACCACAACAAGGACCGCTCCATTCTACATATGCTTGATGTTATGCCAAGAAAAGACCAAAGCAAATTCTTACAGCAAATGAGAAACGATTACTCACAAAAGCAAAGTCTGAACACTGTACTACAAAAGCCAAGGAGTTTAAGATAGTCTTCTCTCCTCATCTTATGAAGCAGGTGCAGAGCCGAAAAAAACAAATGGGACAAAGAATCGATAATTCTTTTCAGCAAAGTATTTCACTAACTAGTAAGAAAATTACAGAGAAACCCTGTTATACTGGACAAGTTGGACAGTATTAGCATATAGTATCCATCCAATAACACTGGTCAACCAATATCTTAGTTCAGCTCAACTATAAACTGATATAAAAGATGGATGTAGCTACATCACCTGTCAAGGGCAGTGCTCACCTTCATTTGGCTAACAACATAACAAATAAGATGATACAGCATGCTTTGTTTTATTGCAATTATTGAGGTCTATCATTTACAAAGCTAACTTCATGTTATATTTAATAACACATAATTGCATTTTGGCACTCAGAAATCAGAAAAGTTCAGCGAAAGAGAGCAGATGGCTGTTTGCCAATAGACTTCTATAGAGCTGGTAATCTTTAAACGACCACAGGAGTTGTAGCAATAGGGCGGATGACGACATAAAAACATCTATCCTATCGTTTGTTTCGTGGTGTCGCAAAATAAACTGTTTACGGCAATATTTTTTCATCGTTTTAATGGTCACTGTAGTGGCTATATTAATTTCTTAAAGTTCTCTCTTTCTCTTATATTTTATATAACCACACTACGGATGGACAAGCACCGGTTTTATGCGTTGTCGTTAGCAACAACAAAGGTAAAACTATCACGTGTCCCCTTGTTTATTTTCCACATAAACCTTTCACAATAAAGCTCAAGATCCTGTTGAGACTTTTCAAAATAAACTGAATCACGTGAAAAAAGTGTGCACAGTATTTACGGATAAGAAGCAAAAAAGAGCCGTCATGTGCTAAAAAATAAACTAGACTCAAACGTTAGAACAGGCTTTCCCCCGCAGCACGCTGTGTAATAAATACAAAGAAAACGGCGGCCGTTAAAACTTATGTCTAAAAATGTGTCATTTCATACATCGTTAAAACACTCGGCGCCAGGTACACGACGCCAAGCTGGAAACACTTCACGCAAGTCGAGCTGCCCGAGATTCACAGAATTTACAGAAAATGTTACATTTTTGTGATTTATATCGTCATCGGGCAATAGAATTCTTATATCGGAGATATGAGATTTTGGTCATATCGCACAGCCCTATGTAGCGATAGTGATAATTCTTTCTCAGAGATCACAAACAAATACTTTTAGTGCTAAAAAGCTTAGTGGATTGGCATAAGTACTTCATTCCTGTTATATTCTGTATAATAAATAAAAGTAAAAAAAAAAAAAAGAGAGATTTGGTAATGTTGCTTAAGAAGGTTTTTGTATTATTAGTAAAATGTACTATTTTGTACAAATCTGAAACAAATTTAAGCAGGGATATGTTCAATGGTTAAATATACTCTAATGCCAACCATGTCTGTGTTAGCCACTTCAGGGTACGCAAGTTTCTTGATAAAAAGAAAAAAAATTAAAATGGGTTTGCAGCATTAGAGATCATTAGCAGCTAGCAGGAAATACTATTTATAGATATTCCAAATACAAATAAAAGGCAATTAGCCAGCAAAACATTATTTGTATTTCATCTTAAGATTTAGCTTTTTTTTAAAAAATGAAAAAACAAAAAACCCTCTGTGTGTGTGCGTGTGCGTGTGCGTGTGTGTGCGTGTGTGTGTGTGTGTGTGTGTACCTTTAAGGTACCAGTGGACTATCATTACTTTGAGGAGCTTTCCTAGAGAACTCCAGCTGTGCCTGTGTTCTGGTTCCTGAGATGGGGGTGGAGTGCTGCTTTTTAGCTTTGCAGCCCTCACCACCACCACCACAAGCTCAAGGACAAGCCTGGAGAGTTATGAGAGAAGGGAGACAGGTTTGGGAGGCGAGGGCGGCCCAAGTGTTTGTTTGCAGGGGATAAATGAGAGAAGAGAGGAAGACACGGAGAGACATGAAGATGAAAATAAAGAAGGGGATAGAAAGAGCCAGTCCCCTCTTGAATTCACAATTCAGAAAATACATCAAAAGGGGGTTAGAAAGGGGAAATTAAGACATCTAAGAAAAGAAAAGAAAGCTACTACAGCCAGTGTTTTCATGGGGGCAACCAGGGCAGGAAAGGTCACAATTAAGTTTTTTGCAGGATGCTAAATGTTAAATTGGAACAAAGTTGGTGCTTTTGCAGGAAAGAAGAGCAGCCAAGCCTTTCTGATTGAGTGGAGCTGGCAGGCTCGGGGAGCCTCCCTCGGACTGCTGTCAGCTGGGAGCGTGGAGGGGCCAATCACTGACACAACAAAGCTGCATAAGTGCCACTTCCCCAGCAGGGGGCGCCCTAGCCTCCTGCCCCGTATCATGCTGTGTGCCCCCCTGAGGAAAGATTTATATTTTTAAACAACTCTTCTACCCCAAGGTGACGGGATAACAACCATGCCAAGGGTCCACGTAATGAAACATGACCCGCAGGCCTTCATGCTACACTAAAGATACTTTAATTGAGATAAAAACAAGATGAGGGTGCTAGACTCCCCGTCACGTGGAATTATACTGTGTGTTTTTTGATCTGATGCACAGGAGCAAGATGCTAGGCACAGTTATTTTGAGCAATAATGCTCATTACACGTTTTCACAGGTTTTACCGTGCAGCTACAGCCTTAGGTATATATCAAGCAATGAAATGGGTTGCCGCTAGCAAAAAGAGGTAATGAAGACACCATCACTCGTGTGTGATACTGCATACAAGCAAGACTTCTCCGCCTATATTGATTAGCTCAGGCAATATTGTGCGCTTTTAGTGGATCTTGACACTCTGATAAGCCGAGAAAGATTCAAAATTTCACTGGCAAGTTACATCCCTCTAAACTCTGTTCCTTTAGTCCAGAGGACAATCTGACAGCCAGCCTTCAAAAGACAAACCCATAAAGTATTTATGCATGTGCCTGGGGTCCAGTGAGTTCAGACAGCCACTGAAGAATTCATTAAAGGAGGTGAAAGAATTTTTAAGTGTATCAAATTTAAACCAAGGCCAAACAAGAAATGCTCAGTCTGAACCACAGAAGGAGAAAAAAATCAAAACTGTCTGTAGTGATGACACAATAAATACAAAAACAACATGGTCCTTACACAAAAGGCAACAGAGAATCTTTTTATCATGACATGACGAGGAATTTTCCTACTGCATCGGTAACCATTTTTATCTGCCATTAAGAACACCTAAAAGCTACAGTTCTGTGAAACACTATTTGCCCTTTTCCTGATTTCTTATTTATTTTCCCCATTTTTGTCACACTTACGTGTTTCAGATCATCAAGCAAATTTTAATGTCAGACAAAGATAACTAGACTAAATAGGAAATGAGGTTTTTAAATGATGACATTCATTTATTAAGGGAAAAAGGTTCATCAAACCTACCTGGCTGTATTGGATAAAAGTAATTGCCCCCTAAGCCTAATAACTAGTTGTGCCATCCTTGGCAGCAAGAACTGAAATGAAGTAATAACTGGCAATGAGTCTTTGACATCATTGTGGAGGAATTCTGGCCCACTTGTCTTTGCAGAATTGTCTTAATTCAGCCACAATGGAGGGTTTTTGAGCATGAGCAACCTGTTTTAAGCTCATGCCAACCATTGCAATTGCACTAAAGTCCAGGCATTGTCCAGGCTCCTGGCAGTAATCGGGCCTAAGTGTAAATAGTGAAATTGTACTCAGCTTTCCAGAAAGCATGGTTAATTACAGTTCATGAGTAAGTAAGTCAGTTAATTCATGACATAGCTCCCCCCCCCAACAAATGAAATCATTATTTAAAACTGCAAACTGCATTTTGTATTTACTCAGATTAACTTTGTCTAATATTTAAATTTGTTTGAAATATTCAGGTGTGTGAAATATGCAAAAACAAGAAACCAGGAAGAGGGCAAATACATTTGGCAAGTCTTTATATGTCACTTCTGCGATGAGTGGTCAGGATTCACCTGTTTCTTGAATTCGTCGGTGTAGCAGCCCCGGATGAAGAAAGGCCTCGTCTTTACATGAGCGGATCTGCGTTCCCACGAGGTCAGAGTTGGTGGCGAGTATTCTGGCACTTTCCTCATTCAGGTTCACCCCGGCCATAGAAGCCACATCATTGATATCATCGTCGTCCCTGAAGGACGAGATGGTAGATGGTAAAAAAATACGAAAATACAAAAAAAATACGGAAACATGCATTTTATTGTGGTACATTTTTACAACACATTTCTGTCGTGCAACAAGACGAATAGAAACACAAGAGACGTAAGCGGTACATTTTCTCAAAATATGCATCTGTCCAAGTTTTACTTTAGGTAAAGTCTGTGAAATTTCTACAGCTCTCCAAGGGAAAACTTGAGAGGCCCTTGTCACAGTTCTACTGACTCCTACTGGAAGCTGTGTTCAAAATATTTCCTCTACTTTTTAGCTCCAAAATCACCAGGAAAACTCATTTTGCACTATCCTTAATTGTGTATTCACGCCCTAACATTACATTGTCAACTAGGAGATTTTTCACAGGGATATTTGCCTGGACAAAATTATGCATTAGTTTTGTTACAAGGGGCTATACGTTGCTTATAATGGCACAGAAGTCCCATTCCAGGGTCTATTTGCGTCAACACTTTGAGAGTCAGGGAGATGAAGAGCGTTTGGAAGCTGTGTTTTGCTCGGTAAGGATGCTCCTGAGAATTGGCAAAGAGCTGCAATGAATCTGGCTATAGACTAATGTCAACAAACTCTATTTACACAATCATGTGCAACACACAGCGATGTATTTTCTCAAAGCACTGGTCATTTCTCATGGTCATAATGCAGACTTCACAATGTTTACACAGTATCACAGTTTAGCAAAGACAAAGGAGTATAAACATGCAAAATGTGTGCTATGGTCACTGTGTTTCTCTCTCAAAGAGGTTTACATATTCTGTAAAAGGCTGCAAGTTTCTTTGTGAGTTGTCACTGGGAAAAATTCCTTTACAATTATTATACTTGGCAAGTAATGATTATGATCCTGGCCTGAATTAGCAGAGCAGTGACATGTTGTGCTTACAGGACTGGCCTAGAGCGAGGAGCGGATTTTCTGAGTGGCTTTGACGGAGAGAACAAAGAACCACAGAACACACACAGAGTGGCCTCTTGCCACTCACTGGCTAACCTCCGTACTCATTTACGTTCATGCCACTGTTGTGGGTTGCGACAGAGTTTACGTGTGTGTTGCTGTGCTTTTGCTTACACATGTGTGCAGCACGGGGCACCGAGTTCTTTCAGGCGTCTCGGGGTGTGGGCACACACCGTCAGCCAAGTCCACCCCACCGAGGCCCTCCTGCTCCTTAGTGCGGCCACGGAGAGCCGATATGAAACTTGACACCACGGCAGGAGGTTGACAAAGACGATTAGAGTAGCTCCCTGAACTCTACACACCTCAACCTTCTCTCGTCTTTTCCTCCTCTCCTCCAGCTCTCTAATTAAGCCTTCACAGAGAAAATCTACACACCAACGCAAGCGTGGATGCATAGGATTATGATCTGTGTTGCACCTCAGGCTGTGCACCTTTCTTTATCACGTCCTTATGGATAACTTGACCTGGCTTAAAATCACACACACACCTTAGGCCATACTCAACCAGCTAAGTAAAGAAAAACTGAAAAACTACACATCAGGCCAATGTCCATGATGGAAAAGTGACTACACAAGATCACTCAAAGCCAAAGCAAAATCTCAGTATCAATGCATCCAAAGAGATCAAAAAAACCGATGCAAAAATCTCTACCTGATGACAATAATGTGATGATAATATGATAATGACAATAATCATAAGTCCTTTCTGTAAACTGAATGTCAGGACATAACATCATACAATAGGTTTTGCTTAATATAGCCATGTATCCATTGTCTCCTGCTTGTCTAATTAAGGGTCACAAGGGGGCTGGTGCCTGTGCAAGCTGCCCCAGCTGGAGTGAGAGGCAGGGTATACCCTGAACAAGTCACCAGTCTGTTGGAAGGCTAAAGACAGACAACTATTCACACCTAGAACTGCCAGTTAACCAAATATGTATGTCTTTGGACTGTAAGGGGAAGCTAGAGTACCCAGAGAGAACCCACAAAGCCACAGGGAAAACACACAAACTTCACAGAGAAAGGCCCCAGATGACCTGTGAATTCAAACCCAAGAAATTCTTGGTGTGAGGCAGTAGCAGTGCAAACTACCCACCACCATACCAAATTTCATTACAGTCGTGTAGTGCACTGAACTCGTGGTTCCAAAATTGATTCCTATTTTACTCATTTTTTTTAATCTGGCTTCTTTTAGGTGAACTAAAAACATTGTGGGAAAAGGTACAGGTTATGAAAAGCTTTTCTTCTCAGGGCTGAGAATAGATGAATATATTTCTTGCATATGACAAAGATAGAAAGACAGAGAGAGAGACCGAAATCTCATGTTGGCAGAACACATCACATAGTCTTAGACTAGAAAATCTCCGAAAAACTGGCTAGGCTACTTTTACATGAACCGTTATATTACAGCAAACTGTGGGGTGGGCACTGAGCCACTCCAGGTGGGGCATGGAGCACTAGGGGAAAATATCGAAGGAAACTAAGCTGAATTAATGTGATTTACAAAGGGAACGATAGCATTCTAACCTGTATTCACTGAACGTCAACTTGGATCCATTTTTTATTGTTAATGATTGATTACAAATTAGAAGTGTAGGGTGTTGTTTCGGCTTCTGAAGTTGTGCATGTGAGATAAAGTTTGAGAACCACTGAATTAAATCAAGTACAAACAATTTCAGTACATAAAAAGGTTTTTAGTGATTCTTTTGGTAAATATTACATGGATTAACAGTTGAGCATTTTATTAGTAGTAGTATTGTTTCAAATAATTTGACTAAAAATGACAAAGAAAGTTAACTTATTTGGAATAAAAGACGAATAAAGGAAAAAGATGTATTCACTGTACTAATGGAGTCTCGTTATCTGAGTAATAAAAAATAAAATAATACCATAGGGTCAAGATCTCCAATTTATACTGCAGAAAAAAGTGTTATTTTTAAATCAAGATGGTACAGCTATAGCTGCACTATAGCCCAAGGATTTCTTTACAGGAAATGTATGTGTAGTTTGAATAATTATTTACAATGGATCTACAGAGTTAACATTTTGTGTATCGGCACACAAAATATCAACCAGTATCCAAAAATTCTGGTAATCCCTTTTTCTTTGATGATCTGTTTTCAGGGCCATTCAAGATCACCAAGGCTGAAATCAAACGAGAATGCTAAAGACAGGTCTGACATTAAAAGGAGAGAGTGAGATATGAAATGCAAAATATTCCCGACTATATCTCTGCACTAATAAAGCAGATATGCAATTAGCTTCCACGGAAGCTAAAGAGCAGGCTCTCAGTTATTGGTTTGGGTTGGCTCAGGGACTCGGAGCCAGAGGCCACATAAATACATATGCATGTCGTTTCCACATCAAGCTTGTGTTTCAGCGAGGGCATGCCATAGGAGGTTGGAGAATTGCACTTGCTGTTTAGAGGTTGTGTAGGTGTGGGGTGCATTCAGATCTCCTCCGCCCCCCCCCTCCCCCTTCTCCAACACTGATCCACCCCCTTTATCCCTGTGGATAAAGGTCTCTGTGCCCAGGCAGGGGGCCCTGATTGATCCCTGTGACTAACACCCAGGCCATGCATGTTGTTGTGCCCACACTGAGAGACAAGCGCCACTGGAGAAGTATTCTCCATAAAACAGCCTTAAGTTCAATGGGCAGCTGACAGGACATGTGTTAATGACCAAAATGAATGATAGCATAGGCTTAAGAGCCTTCCAAAGACCAACAACAGGTCAAGTATTGTTTCATATTTAATGGGTAAGTGTTATTAATTCATTACAACACTCAGGCTGTTATTATTCCCAAGCACTTAAAATACCTGGCAAGGAAATGGTGTGATGTAGGTGACGATCTGATCAATGCTAAGAGTCATAAGTATATTTTGTAGCATCTCAAACTTTCCTGTATCTATGTGGAGCGCTGCCACTTTCTTTGGAGTTTTTGAACATCTTTGTCACCAGCTGGCCAGACGTGCTAGCTACCTCTGCTCATTCTTCGTCAATTTTTCCCCCAAATCTCAACATAATCGAATCTTGTGGTTGCCGTGCTTACAAGTGGCAACATCAACATTTTTCAGAGATCACTTTTAAGTTCTAATTTACTTTTAAAGTTCTTCTTAGCAAAACGGGCACATCACATAGCAATTTATACAGCAACAAAGGATATAACCGCAAAGCATAATGAAGTCAGTTTGCTGGTACATGATGGAAAAGAGCTGGTGGACTTTTGCGTCCACTGGCAACAGTGACTGATGAACGAAAACTTTTGATCCTAATTTTGCATGTGTATCTGTGTGTGTCTTTTCCTATGCAACCATGCCAGTATTCGTTAATGCGCAGGGATGTGTGTCCACCATGAAGCACAGGGTTGGATTTGAGGGGCTGAGGCTGAGCTCGGAGGTTGGCAGAGGGCTGAGGGCCTCGGCTGGCTCGCCAGTGATTACAGCGGATGTCGAGTGTTTACAGAGAGATGAGGAGGGGTGGGGGGGGACGCAGAGACAGCTGCTTTCACTCTGTACTGTAAACTACACACACATGCGCACACACTGACACAAGCACTTACACAGAAGGCTGTAGCTACATTGGAAACCCCACAAGCCCTGCAGTGTGTATGTGTGTGTTTGTGCTACAGCTGGCCTGCTGGGACCAGCGGTTCAGAGTGACAGCCATACACACATCAGTCCCAGACTACAGCTGAACATGGTGCAGGCTGGGTGGGGGAGAGCACGGTGGATGCTGACTGACCATTGTTTGTTTGTTTTGTTTCTTTATTACAGTGAACAGATACCTTCTACACCCCTCTAATTCTGCTATGGAAGCAGTTAAGTCAAAATGGCTTTATGACCAAATTCCCCCTGACTTTAGTTCACTTAGACTTTTTTGTGTGCTGGCCACTTGTCTTAATCCTTTTTTGATTTCTAAGTAATTACTGAAATTATGTCAGTGGCACACATTTTTTAATTAAATCTGGCCTACTTGACTATTTTATGCAAATGACCTGCTGTTGCTGTTTAAATATTAGCGTCTTTAAAAGGCTATAGAAACTCAAAATGAACTTTTTTTTAACAACTTGTCTGCATTTTTCAGCATGGTAAACATGAAAAACAGCGTCTGTTCACAGACACAAGTCATCGCGTCTGACTGGACGTGGTGTGAAGACAGTGTGGCGTCAGATGGATCGCCTTGTAACAATGAGCTCTGTTCCAGCATGTTTATATCCTCAGGTACGAAAAGTAACAGCATAAAAAAATAACAGCAATTTCTGAGGTTTCAGTCAACAGCAACCAACCGACATTAACAAGTTAAGAATTTAACGCACAGGCATTTTTCGGTGAAGTGGAAAATTAGGAACGACAGTGAGAAATGAAGATAATTAGATAATACGGAGGTCAACTCATCAAACAGTTAAACCTATATCGGAGTCAGAAAAGTCATATGTGACTTCAAGTAACAGTGTGATGGCGAGAAAGGTCAGCGTGTATGCGTCGTTGGAAGAAAACGAAAGAGACAAATAAAGGGACGAAAACAATGATGATTGACTACACAATATAGACAATAAAGTGTCTAATGCATAAAATGAAGAGCAGGCAAAATGTCACCTGACCCGGATAAAGAGAAAATAAACTACAAAATATCATTGACATGATTCTTCCATGACAGTGGTACTGTGTGTTATTGGACTTGTGTTGAAACCAGTGCATTTGTGTGTGGTGGGCCCCTGTGATCACCGCAGGGGGGAAAAAGGTCGCCAGTAACAAGCGAGCCTGACAGCTTAATTACCAACGCAGCTAAAGATTTATTGGTTTATCAATCAGAGCCCAGGGCGCTGCCTTTCCCCTCAGGAGATGGGAGCCATTACCATGAACCCGTTGGCCCATGTGACCCAGACTCTTCTTGCCCTGTCCCAGTCACACAGGGGCAATCCTAAACCTCCGGCACCTGTCGATACATGTGTACAAGCACACTGGATATGCACGCACACATACGCACGCAAATTCTTAGATTTCTGGAATATACACATATGTTCATGTGCACCCAAGCAGAGACACAAACAAACACAGACAAATAGAGGAATGTATGCAAACATAAAACACATAAAGACTCACACAAAACATGGACCGCAAAGGCCAGCATGTGGGCGATGAACCTTTTATGTTTCGAGACAAAGGCACAGCTGAAGCAGAGACAAGACCAGAGAGAGAGAGAGGGAGGAAAGCTGCAGGCTAAATACTGTATGTTTGACTTAACCAAAAGGTATTTTCAGAACCGCATCCAGAAATTCCAACCATATGGGCACAATTATCTTATTTCTAAATTAAGCGGTAGCTCATTTGGAATCCTGTCGATGAGTTGTGACAGTGACACGAGGAAGGCGAACGTGAGGGTGATCTGTTAACTGACAGTGTGCTGCTATGTGGTGGGCATGGGAAGAAAGGACCACCGATCAACCAGTCGGGCAGGCAGGCAGCCAGGTGGCCAGGCAGGCGACTCAGATAAACACTCACAGCCTTAGCTGAGAGTGTAGCCTGTAGTCATGCAGAAGCTTTTTAGTGAAATGCTGCCCCCATGTGTTGGCAGACACAAATAACATGCTCCACAGTCACTCTCCTGGCGAGAGGAGTTGTACCTGAATGTGCCTCCTCCGGGGTCATTGAGCTTGTTTTTCTGATTCCCGGTGATCTGAACAGGCAGGCCCATGGGACTTTTGCCTGCTTGGATTATGGCTCCCTTTCCCATTGTGCCTGTTAAAGAAAGGGGGGGAACAAAGAAGAAAACACTAAACAAAAAGGAAAGGTTTAATGTTATCATTGAAGTGTCCCCTTCTATCTGCATCAAATATTCATTCTGTCTAACGACTACCTTCAGCTGTCTCTGTCATCCTCACAGGGGTGAGGGTGAGGGGCTGTCGCTCTCCCCAGGTTGGTGCGGAGAGCGTCGCTCTGTCAATATCACTGCACTTCACCGCCTTTCCTTACACTCCTAAACCGCATCCTGCTCCGAGACACGTTTTCCAGAGAGGCACAAGGACTGCCAGAGTGAATTTAAACTTGATTTTAACAGGCATGTTCCTAGCCAAGAGGCACAGGAAAGTATTTTTAGAACTATCCCCGCATTCCAATTTATGGGCATAAAACAACCTACAGATCTTTCACTGCAGGCAATCTTGGGGAAGGGGGCAGATCAAATTTGTATGCACCTCCGATCGTACGCGCACACACACTAACACAAACGCACAAGCACAAACAGGTACAAACACATACACTCATTTCACACACCACTTGAGAGCACAGAGCTCTCTTAGGGGAGCGTTACACCCGGTTGGTGTTGGGGCGATATTTGTGGGCTTCTGTGGGAAGAGTGTTTGTGAATCAGTGTGAGTAAGCAGTAGCGCAAATGTTTGAGAAGGCTTTATAACCAGACAGGAAAAAAAAAAAAAACACACAAAAAACACCTGTTCTCTCTATGGCTCCTGCCTGTTTACACATCCTTCAGCCTACCGAGAGAACGTTTACGGTTTCACTAATGGCCATCTTAGGCTATATAACCTGTTTTATTGGTTCATCATTTAAAAAGAAATTTAAACTAAGGCTGAAAATCTTTGAATATTTTTCCTGCAATAGTGTCTTAATCGAAGGATGTAAATATTGCATAACAGAATCAGAGGAAAAACGTGAGTCAAAGTTTCCAAAAATATAAAGAAATGTTTGTTCATTCTTTCATCTTTCTATACTTTAGTCCTCCAAATGCCTGGTATAAGAATGGGGATTGTACATGTAATTGAATTCAATCAAATGTGTCTGCAATAGGCCTGCAGATGTCTTACCTTGCGCTCTGATGGACTGCGTAATCACCACAGGCATCCGGACCTGGCCACCAACAGCGCCTCCTGTCTTGACACCCTGAGGAAGCAAAACTTTATTGTAGCATTTCTCAGAAGGAAACAATTGGAGAGAAGGAAGAGATAAAGAATGGAAATTAAAAAGGATGAAACTGAACACCTACTAAAGCATTGCTCCATTTTTGTGTGATCCCCAAAACCGAAAGTGGAAAATCAAACTTTTTGTCATAGTTGGATAGGAAAAAAAAACATCATCTGTAGACCTAGACCCACTTGAGTTTTGTATATTGATTTCTTTTCAATTGTAACACAGTGAAAATACCAGCAGTATATACAGAATAAATGCATAATACATACAAGAGTGGTGAATTCTACAGTGGCTATCGCCACACAGTACAGAGAAACTAGAGATCAAATTAAATGCACAAGAAGGATGGATTTCTCCCGCTGTATATGACCTACATTTGCTTGCATTTGCAGATAAGACAAAGGCAATAAAAAGTCAAGGCCACAGTGAAAAAGTAGTTGAGAAGAAGAAAAAGTAGTAGAAGAAGAAGGTGCGGGGGGTGGGAGAGTATACTGGGCTATTAGAGTCACTTCCTTCCTTGGTAGCAGCTAAGGGCCGAGCCTCAGGCTCAGCCATCCATTCCTACCAGTTTGCTTCTTGCTGCATATTTTTTAGCCTTGTTTTCCATTCCCTGACACATGCTATATTACTGTTCAAGCTACTGAAAAAAGACAGAGGCCATTTTTCCCAGAGATCCACTGCAGGGGTCTGCGAGTAAGGGGGGTAAGGGGAGAAAAATACATTCAGAATGAGCAAAGATAGCTAGCACCTCTGGCCAGCTGGCGACACAGTTAAGAGAGAGGGAAAACCCTCAGGTAAGAAGTTTTAGAATCAGGGGCAGAAGGAATAACACTAAACCTAAACTGCTCATCTTTCATATGATTCATATTTCCTACATTTAACATCTAGAGCAATCTTAAATGTTAGATGTTTTTTAGATTAAAGAATAACATGTTAGTTTTATGTAAAGAGAGAAACAGATTTCAAACAATAATACAGAAAAATGCATATAAAGCTACAAATTTGCCGCTATTTACTATTTATGTCTATTTATTATTCATTAATTATTCATTTTCCTTGCTGTTGATGCCCAATAACTTGACCAGCAAAGTTAGAATATATTATTTCAACCTCTTAGCTCAAACATCCATAGAACATCACATGTACTGACGCTGCACACTGTTGCAATGAAGAATGAGCTGTTATGGTATGTGGTGGTGCGGCCTACTTACACCTCTCGAGTTTTCATCAAGGCCATTCACCTCGTATAAAATTTGCCCCAAGGAAGTTTATGGTCTAGTTCCCATATAGCTTTTGGCACAATAAAAAATATATATATATATAATTTAAAAATATCTAACTTTGATTTTCTAAATAATGTCTTTATTACGTGGTCTATCCTCCATGTGTTTAGAAACGTAGAATACTTCTTTTTTATCTAATTAAACCCCTGACATTTGAAACACAGCATTGTTTCAAATGTTGTGGGTTCAAAACCAAAAATGATTGTGGCTTATTGGATATCCTGGAGCATTAATTGTAATTAAATAAGTAACCTTAAATAATGTAAGCCCACATCTATATACTCTACTTTACTACAACAAGAAATCTTTCCCATACCACTGTAGTATGAACAGATTTTTTTTTAGGCTAATTCAACTAGCGTTCTGGTTTCAGACTGTTGACGTGCCAGCGGCGATCATTTACTAATGTTTTGTGTGATAGCTTATGTTGCCGTTGTGTGTGTGTGTGGAGGGAGGGAGAGAGAGAAAGAAGGGGGGAGCGAGAGACCAGAGGCATGTTCTGGACATAGACTGCGGCCGCCACATTGCTTTAAAATTGACCTGGGGCTGACCTAGTTACCTCGCTTCACCCTTCAACGGTTAACGGGTAGAGGGAGGGAAAGAGGGAGAGAAATGAGAGGGCGATGCGGGGGCAGATACAGTGAAAGAAGCTGTTGGAAAGGCATGGAGAGAAAGTGTGTGTATGCAAGTGACAGCCTAAGTAAACCAGGAAGGAGTGAGTGAAGAAAAAGGGAGGGAGAATGAAAGAGAAACAGAGAGAGAGAAATACAAAAGAGAGACCCCTCTGGCTTGCCCACTACTCTGCCTGGACCAGACCAATCTGAGTCTGACCTCACTTGACCCATCTGTAGACATCTGGGCTCTGTGGGGTCGCATGATTCTCAATGTACAAGCACATCTGCACACACAGACACAAACACACGTTCAGTATCCACAACGCGGTTATTATAGTTAACTAAAACTATACCACGATCTGAAACTGGGGATAGAAAACTAACAGAAAATAACTAACAAAAATACCAAACCAATTAGAAATATAGAGGAAAGGTCCATATTATTAGTCTTTGCTAATATTGTCATATTATTCAATACATTAAGCAAAAGAAGGCATCGACTCTGAGCCAGGTTTTTGTTCTGCAATACCTTGTCTGAACTTCTTAAATCTGCTCCTGGCACTACCGACTACAGTATTACGATTATACAGGCTAAAATTAATAAACATTTCTAAAACATATCAAATATAACTGAAACAATCAAATCAAATCTGGAAACTAAATCAGACAAACGGTCAAAAAAAACAAAGAAAAACTAAGGCTGTTGCTTCTTGGTACAGTCCCCCTCTGTCATGGTACTGCGTCTTTGACCCTGAAATATGAATTTTGATGGGACTTTGAATTCTTTTCTACCTTTAGGTGCAAAGCTCGGCCTCTTTTTGTGACGCTGACAAACAGACAGGAGGCCAAGCTGGAGGTGGCAGAGTAGAGGATGTTAAGATTTTCAGTAGGAGTCACCAGAACGGACAAGATTAGAAATGAGTACATCAGAGGGACAGCACAGGTTGAGCAAGTTAGAGGGGCAAGGTTGAGATGGTCTCAACCCTTTCTATAATCTCTTGTGTTTCTCTGAGCCTTCCCCCTTGTCTCCCCTGTGTCAAGTTCAAGTGTGTGTGTGTCTTGTCTCTTTGTCAGTCAGTGACTTCCAGGTTTATTTTGGTAGTCTTTTTGTCTTCTTGGTCTTGTTCCTAACTGTCTTAATTGTCTTCAGCTGTTCCTCGTTCCCCACCTGTTCCCTATTCCCCTGATTAGCTCTCAGAGCGTGTCAGTTTGTATAAATAGGCAACAATTTCACATTGCCCTTTTGTTGTAGTGTCTGTGTTTCCTCAGTGTGTGCGCTCAGCCCAGGTTTCGTGGCGTTTCGATGTTTTTGTAGGTTTACTTCCTGTCGTTTTTTGAATCTCCTGCTTCTTTGACTCCTTTACACAAATAATCACGACACTTTTATAACCTGCAACATATGGGTGTGACTAACCATCACAGAGACTGTACTGCATACCAAGAATCATATCACAGATTTGTAGGACAGATGGTGGTGTTAAACTGTTTCCATTAAACTGGGGGAAGGATCTTTAAATAGTCCTTCAGAAAGCTCACAAAGACATATAATACAGTCCTCTGTGTATATGTATGGCATATGTATTCCTAGCTTAATGTAATGCCTCCAAAGGACTTCTTTGTGGAATAACTGAACCATCATGTTTAAAACTACTTTAGTCTAACAACAAAATCCTCCAAATTCACTGACAAATATTTCAAAATCCTACTAATAAAGAGACAAACCTTATGTCATAGCTTTAAAAGGCCTACTATGTGGTGTTGTGTGGGTGTATTGTGCTGCTTTCAGCTGACTTCACGTATAAAAAGCCAGTGAGAGCAGCTGGTCAGCCCGGTGATCGAGCTTCATAAGTGTTGGGAGTTGATATCATGCTTGTGAAGAAGTGTGGTATCAATGAATAATCTGTTGTTGCCTTATTATTTTTTATTTTATTCTTAGACATAGTTGCTTTCCCATCTTTTTAAATTAAACCTTTCTGTTAAAAAGTTGTTTTATTTCTCCATATGCTTTCTCTGGCTCTTTCTCCAACCCAGACATTGTTATTAGTACTTCTTCTCACCTCCCATTTTGAGCAACTTAACAGTGTAACAGCAAAGTTTGTAAATTGAGTACCTCTAATTGGATACTTGTGCTTTGCCATCTGCTATGGTCAGTGGAGCCACTTGCACATTATGCAAACAACCTCTATGGTGTGAATATGCAAGTTTCCAACAAGTGTGTTCTAGATGGATATAAGACAAAATAAATATTTTCTAAAGACAGAAAATGTTGCTACATGGGTAGGCCTGGGTCACCCTTTCCCTTTTTTTTTTTGACTCTAACTCACTGTTTGATGTATGACTTCCAGCCATGACTGTGACTTGCTCCAGAATAACAAAACCCATCATCAACAAGCACACTACCCCCAGCAGGTTGGATTCACTGCAGGTTACCATTTTTTAAATGCATGCTGGGCTGTTGTGAGAAAATGCGTCACATTTACTGTACAACTTCCGCTCTATCAGACACCTTACATACATACATACATACACATTTCCTGGACATGGCTACCAATTACAGAAAAAAACAAAAAACAAATGAAACACATATGAACATTTACACATTTTAGGATCGATCTTTGTATTTGCTATGTTTTACTTCAAAGATCACATGTAGTTTCATTTGGACTGTGATGTTGGGGAACAAACTCTTGTGTGTGAACAAAAAAGTTTTAAAAAGCAACTCCCAATTTAAACATTGTGATGACTCTGTCTGCACTGGATACTCTTCCAACTGGGCCGCGTTATACATACCATTGCAGCTGCATGTCCGAGCGTCCCAGCGGGCAATGCACTGGCACCCGTAGTGGTGCTGACACTATTAGGGTGGCGTATGCGGACAGCTGGCCCAGCGACGATGGCAGGAGGGGTGCCACAGGGTGCTGGTTTTAGTCCCTGCTGCGGGGGCTGGGTCAAAGACTGCTGACTATTCAGCAAAGACAGCCTCAGGGCTGGGAGGCTCTTCTGTTGATGGACAGAGGACAGCCAGAGTTTACAGTCATATAGAGAAATAGACATGCATTACAAAGCCCCATACACAGCTGCAACAACTACCGCTGTGGTCACTGGCTAATTTAGCATAATGCTATCAAAAAAATATCGCTATAGACAGCTAAAAAATATCTGCAGATGCATGTGACCACATGTTTGTAGAATGTTTGCACAATGATTCATGTGACTTTTATTTGTTATTTTAAAAAATGCTTATTTGTGTGCTGAAATTGTTTAATTTGCATTCAGGATAATAAACCTACAGTATGCTTAAAACTGTATACAGTGTTACCATAACTATTAGCATGATAACTCACTGTCAGTTGACCTAAGGAGCTGATGTCGTTCCCTAGAGAATATTTTAGGGCAGATTTTTGACGTAAATGACCTAACATTGCCTGACACCATGTGTTTGTGGCCCTGTTGGGCGGGTGAGTGCCTTGATGTGATGCTCATCATGGCTGGCTGAAAAAAACCTGCTGGCTACTGGAACGGCTGCAGGGGCCACCGTCACCGCAGTCAGAAGTCAGGCCAGAGGGAGGGTGTGTGTGTGTCTCATTCAACTGTCAGGCAAGGCTAACATTGACTGTGGTCCCATGCAAAGAACTACTTTAGGGGGATCATTTCAGAAAAATCTATGAGGGGCAGCTTAAGGAGCCAAGTTAGGGAATGCGTAGAGGAGAAAGATAAGGGGCAGTTCAGAAAACAATTTTAGGGGTCAATTTCAAGTAGACCCCATGACCCAGAATTGGTTAAGCACAAGAAAATGGATGGATGGAGGGATGAGAATTTCAAGTACCTACAGGTGCTATAAACTGAATAAACAGGCCCAAGGTTAAGAAGACTACTTGATGACCGAGGTGTAGGGTTCAATGTTAGATAGGCACTTTCAGAGACTTATAAAGAAGATGAGCTCAATGAGCCATTGCATTAGTCAGTGTAGGAATCAGTTTTATGGATGATATAGCTTAGGAAGAAGGTTAAAAAAACAGAAGTTAACTAGCAAGAACCTCACCTTGAGAAAGGGTACCAGGTAAGGCTGCGGAGATGACTTGAGCTCTGTCTGTAGTCGGCTGGTGAACTCTTCCGGTTCGATTTTGGCATCCTGTCAGGTTAAGAGTAAAGAAAAAATTTAATTTCAAAAGAGAAGCCGTGCAGTACACCAGTATAAGCACAGTTAGATGAAAGCCCGTCACCAGAAGGAATCATCAACCATTCCATCCTGAAACTTCAGGGTACAACTTAAGGTGCACATTTTGTATGAGATGAAAATTCATGACACAGAAAAGAGACTTTCGGAAAGAGTTTCATGCTGCCATCTACAGGTAGGAAATATTTAATACAACGACACAGAAAAGTGTCAATTTTAATGTAAAATTTAAAATATGTTACACCGCAAAACAAAAAGGGAAAAAAAAACCCAAAACAATGGACTCACACTTACCATGTTATGATTTCATTAAATTAGTTAGATGCATGAGAAACATGCTGTTAAAATTATTTGCCTACAAAAAAAAGAGGTATACGGCAGGTCCTTAGCAGTTTTTGTAAATCTAATACTTGCCCCAAAATTGTCCCATCTAAACAAGTGAAATTATTTAGTTTTTCCTATATGGTATGAACAGCGTTTTGTGAAGCTCACCAGCAGGTCCTGAACAAGAGCCTTGACGTTCTTAGACGTCTCAGGGGACGGAGAATTGTGAGATGCCAGCTTGATAAGTGTGGCCAGGAAATTCTTACACTTTTTAACATTCTCTTGCATTTCCTGTTGAAGACAACAAAATAATTCATTTTCTATAAAACAAACACACACACAAACAAAAAAAACCCCAGTGACACCACTACCAAATCTCAACCTCAAAGACACTGTGTAGGAAGTGAGGAAGAGAGGAAGTGGCCCTATAACTGCGCTGCATGTCCTTAAATGTTGGCTTAAAGAGTTGAATTAACTTGGCTGATAAAAGAGGCTAAAAAGCATCTGTCACAACTCAGTGAATAGTGTACATTCAGGACATTAAAATGTAGCACCTGGGTTGACAGATATGTGTGCGTGTGTGTGTGCGTGTGTGTGTGCGTGTGTGCATGTGTGTGTGCGTGTGTGCATGTGTGTGTGTGAGAATATGCATACATGTGACTTCGTGGTAAATCTGTGCTTCTATGTCTTTCTATGTCCTTGGGTCAGTACGCAATAGTGTGAATGTATGAGCGCAAGCATGTGTGGGCATGTGCAAGACTCTTTGTCCATGGCCAGCTGTGTGACGTGGTGTAGCTGTGGGTCCGGGTCTGAGCTTGTGACACAGCCAGCCTCCTGGCAGCTGTGACAGTGCCCTCACCCTTTAGGGTGGAGTGTGGGCGGTAGTGGAGGAGGATGAGAGGAGGGCAGTGTGGCAGAGGAAACAGACCTGGGATGCGACAGAACCACCAGAGGCCGTGGCGATTCCCGGCTGTGCAGGCTGCACTGGCTGGGGGGCAGGCTGGGCCGGGGCCTGGGGAGGCAAAACCACGGGGGTCTGCTGCGGAGCCGTCACAGCCACGACCGGTGCCACAGGGCCCTTCTGGAAGAGCAAGGAAGAGACAGAGAGATAAACAGGACGTGACGCCTCGCTCCCAGCAAGGCCACAGAGAACAGGAGGCAGGCGCCACAGCGCTCCTGTCACATCTGGTGTCCTTACTTTGGTGGACATCTCTTAACAGACAAGGAGGAAGAAGGGGAGGAGGTGACAAGCTAGAGGCAGGGAAGCACAGGAGCACATAAAAGCTTTTCTTAATCGTCACCCACCTGACTTGGAAGATTTGTAACAAATATTGGCTACCCATAATGATGTGTGCGCAGTTGAATAAAATTCATATACACAACTTTGCTCATGAGAGGAGGTGCCAACAGCAGTCTCTCACTCTAAGGCCCTCATCACCTCTTTTAAATCTCTCAGGGCCTGTTCACACTTGGCAATAAAATACATCTTATGTGACGTGGTCAAAAGTGGACAGCTCTAAATACAGGTGTGAATACACCCAGATGAAGGGGACACATTAAGGTCCTATCATTTGAGTGACATATAGATGGTAACAAGGCTACGTGTACAGTTATATTTGTGGTGTGACTATGTAGTGTAGTACGTTTTTGGTTAAATCAAAACAATCCAGATTTGATCTGGATCAGAGGATACAGTGCTCTAGTTCCTTGCCAATAAGTGCCAGTATTTAGTACAGGTTATGTATTATGTGTAGCTAGGGCATCAATACTTTCCTTTTTTTGTTTGCACACTTTGAAAATAAATGGTTTGACCTTCTGAGACCCAAGATTTTGTTTTGGATTCCCTTTTAAATTATTCCAGGTATTTGCAATTAACTGGACCTGACATGCATATAATCTAAGCATCCTCTTTCCTGTAACAACAGGAAGTTTTTACTTCGTTACATAATTGATATATATTTAAAAAAAATGTCCCCATGATTTTTTGCTGTTACTAAATACATTTTAATTATACTAGTGAGTATTATTGCTTACATCAGGTATAATATATACAGAAAAGGGTTTTACTAAAATTTCCTCCGAAATACTTGAAGTCAATTATCAGCTTGTACACAACCTTCAAGTAAACTTTAGACTCAGTCAGCACTATTTCTAGGCAGTTATCTGGGATAGCAAAGGAAAAAAATGCCAGGCAGAGGACTGAATAACATGTCAGGAGGAGTTGTCTCACTGGGCGGAGTGCAGGGCAGGAGGAGGAAGAAGAAGAAGAAGAAGAGGAAGAAGTCTGTAGGGCAGGGCTGGAAGGAGTAGGAGAAGGAGACGGTGCCATCTTGGCTGGGGTCAAAGGACATTGCCTGCTGGTCTGAGAGGTCACAGGAGATTGCTGGAAAAAGGAGAACAGAAGAAAAAGGAAGAGGAAAAAGAGACAGAACTCAGAATAAATATATCAGAGGAAGTAGGTGACGAAAGAGAAACAGGAGAGATAACTGAATACAAGCCACCTTAAAAGATACAAAGGAAGAAACACAAAGACAGTGATGCTGTGCCAGTTTCAGCTGTGAAAGAAAAGAGTGAGGAGGAAGGATGGCAGCCAGAGAAAAGACGGGGGAAAGTGTGAGAGAGGGAGAGAGAGACAGGGCAACAGAATAAGAAAAGAGCAGTATCGTGCCTTGCAGACAGATGAGAAAAGGTCATGACAGCAGGAAAGAAGAAGGAAGGTGGCAGCATGTTGTCGACATGAAGATTTAACTCAAGAAAGCACGTTTGGTCAGGTGGCGCTGGCTCACAGTGACGTACTACTGGGGTCTGATTCCAGAGGAGACCTACATCAATCAGCGACGACACTGAAACTACTGACAGGTAAAGGGAATAACACTGATGATTTCATTACAGTGAAATGCTTTGCTGGGAAACTTTGAGTTATCCATTGACTAAATAAATGTGTCCTTTTACAGGAGAAATATTCGAACTTTAAATATAATAAAAAATAAAAATAATTTTAAAAAGTAAATACATGTGAAAAATAGGTGGATGTGGTAGAGGCAAACAAGGTCATGCAGTAAGGAGGCTGTTTCATAAGGACAACCATCACCTGCTGTCAGCTAACAGGTGCAACATGAGGCTCAGGGGACCTGCACGGACCTGTGGAGAGTAACTGAACAACCAACAGACAGGTAACTATTAATGATCCTTCAACAGGTTCACTTACAGAAGACCTTAAAAAAGTTACTTTTTGTACAAAAAGACTTATGTAATCTTCTTAGCTTACGAACTAAATTTGGAGTGAGTCTGAGATTTTAAGGAGGACTGAAAACTCCTTGCTACTGAAAACAAAAGAAACGCTGGAGGTGCTCTTGATCTGTAATACAACAAATAACACAAACCAAAAGCAAAGTGGTATATGAAATTAAAATATAGATCATCACCCAGCCCTAAGCTGAGTCCAGAGACTCATGGTGACAGAGAGGTTATAAAAACCCAAATATTGGTGCACACCCAATTATTGCAATGGCACTCCCCAACAGCAGTGGCCTCCCAGGAAGAATAATGCCACACTACAAAAACTGCTCAGGATTCAAACATGGCAAAGAGAACCAAGGAGGTGATGTGGCCTTGAATCACAAAACAGGGCTGATGAGGAGACCCCAGTATAGCACGTAAAGTTCATGCATTTATTACTTCAAGCATGGACTACTGTAATTCGTTATTATCAGTATGTCCTAAAAACTCCCCGAAAAGCCTTCAGTTAATCCAAAAATTTTGCAGCAAGAGTACTGACATGTATGTTGCTGGAGGATTCCCATGATGCATTGAGTATTTCTTCTTCAGTCACCTTTCTCACTCACTATGTGTTGACAAACCTCCCTGCACTGAATCATACTTGTTAATCTCTGGCTCTCTTCCACAGCATGTCTTTTGTCCTGTCTTCCTTCTCTCACCCCAACCGGTCGCGGCAGTTTTCTGCCCCTCCCTGAGTCTGGTTCTGCCGGAGGTTTCTTCCTGTTAACAGGGAGTTTTTCCTTCCCACTGTCGCCAAAGTGCTTGCTCATAGGGGGTCATATGATTGTTGGTTTTTTCTCTGTATGTATTATTGTAGGGTCTATCTTAAAACATAAAGTGCATTGAGGTGATTGTTCTTGTGATTTGGCGCTGTATAAATAAAACTAAATTGAATTAAATATTGCCAAATTTCTTCTGCGAGGTGAGAATTTTGGCTGAATGATGACCAACATTACCCCAATGCATGGTTTAAAAAAAAGAGAAATCCTTTCTTCCTTCACTTCAAGCCTTCAAGCTTGGGTCCTCTATCTGTTCTGTTCAACCAATACAGATATTAGCATCTGGGGGC